AGAAAAGAGTCAAACACGCACGTAAATATATTAATGGAGATTATTATATATTTGTATGGCTTCGGCAGATTTATACTTTCATCACACAAAGAAAAAACCGTTTCAATCTCATTTGTTAAACGATTTTTTTTTTTTACTTTTAGTTATTGTTATATATTATTATTATTCAATTCAGGGATCGCTTATTGTTGGGGTGAGGGTTGCCTGGATCAGAATTTTAATTCGCCTGTACGCGTTTTAGCATCTGCCACAAAGCACGCGCGTATGTTATTAATACACACGTATATGTATATATATACAACAGTAGTTTCGCGGTGAAATAACAACCAGATTTTGGTTTTCCGCTCGACACATTATTATTTTTCCGCGGATATCACAATAATATAAAATAATAACGATGCATCAACAATACGTGTAGTTTTTGTTGTTATTGTAGTTCTAAACTTAAAACGAATATGTATACTCTGTGATGTTTAAATAAATTATACATTTATATTAGGTATATATTATAATGGATTAGCTATATATATATATATATATATATGTAATGCAACAGTTATAATAATATTATGGGATGTATTTTTCTCGACCCGAATTCGATTCTGTTTTTATTTTCTTTCCGTTCGTCGGATTTTTTCGAGTTATATGTACTCCACCGACACACACGTGCCATACGTATTTGTATGGTAGGTACATGTTTGCAGGCAGTAAAAAAAAAAGTGTACAATAGGTTTTCTGTTCACATACACGCGTGTATGTCGGCTTTGTGAAAAAACAAAATTTTAATATCAAAGTCATAACCGTGTTGCGAGGGGGTGCAATTGGAATATAGTAATATATTATATTGTGCTATATGTATACGTGTGTGATGTATGGGTGGATGTGTTTGTACAGCGTCGGTAGTGGTGTACCTATTGAATTGAAATCGAAATATCGCTGTATATACTACTGCTACTCTCTCTCTACTGCTATAATAATGTTGAAGAAGAGAAAACGAAATCCATTAGCGACTGAAAAAAGGTCAACTTGCAAGAAAACTGCAGTAAAAGAATCGATGATCCTCCCGGCACAGAACTCTTTTATCCCTCCTCTTTGCGATGACGTGCTCAGTAATAATTAATGAATTCCCGCTGCATTTGCGATTCACCATCCATTCTGTGATATATTTAAACGTTTTTTTTCTTTTTTTGCAGACGCCACGGCCAAAGAACCATCGCTGATCATCCGACCAACACAGCCGAAACAGGTTAAGCCGATTGGCTCGTCTTTGATATTGAATTGCCAGCCTGACGTCGATCAACCAGAATTCATCACGAATCTCAAATGGCTAGATCCGCAGAACAGGACGATCGATCAGACCTCGTAAGTATAATGTTGATTTCAACGCGTTTATATATGTTTGCATATCGCATATAACCTTAGACGCAATTTAGGGGGAGGGAGAGAATACCTTCCTTAGCACATCCAGTTTTGAATTCCGTACCGCATCCATATGCTTTATTTTATAAATAATTAATGTATTGTGTAAAAAGCTTAAAACACAAAATATTTTGTTATAATTGGTCGGTGTTGCGGAGTTTGGGGGGAGGGGTTAAAATTGATCCATGATCATAAGACCAAGTGAAAAAATATGTGGTTTCGGGCCCCTAGTTTTTTTTCATTGAAATTGAGCAGATGTTWCCCATATAAAGCTGTTTTTTATGGCCTGAGCATCGATATAACTATGGCCATTAGTATGTTATTTGTGGGTGAGTTACAACTGGCTTTTAGGATCACTACGTTTTTATGTTGTGGCGTGGATTCTTCGCAATGATCCCGGGTGGTCACCCATCCRGGAACTTGCGTCGCCGCACAACACTTGAYCGCAGCATACGCCGCAGTGATTAACCTCACCACAATAGGTTCCATGCATTTAAGCTGTTAATGTGTGCGGCTGCACTATCGCGTTATAGCCAAATGTTATAATATTGTTATGAAGTTGTTCTGTTGCGCTGAATAGTTTTCATAATTTCTATCAAACGATCGGCGCCCGTGTTTTTGCCCCACATGCAAATATACGTGTAATATATATAAAGTTTCTGATGCGGATGCGGCGTCTACACTTTTACATCTCTCACTGCAGCATARTGATGACTCGTACTTATGCGATTTCCGGTAAAAATATAATTCCAAGTCGATGTTTATATTCGATTCAAAAACTCCGAAGGGTGGAAGCCGCAGCCGATTTATAATAATAATAATAACAATATAGTRTACACAGCAATAAACAACACGTGTGTGCCGATGATACAATACAATATAACTCGATTTTATTACTCTATTTTCCGCCCCAAAATCGCGAAATGGACATGCGGTCGTCTGCCGTCCGCACAATTAAAACGTCATCAGACTCGTATATTAGTCGATATATATATATAATATTTACATTTTATCGGCGGTGGTTTGCTTGTATTCATTTATACGGATAATAATAACGCGCTATATAATATTTTACGCATTTTGACGTCGGATATGTGCCGTTTCAGGACCGCCGGAGCGCACGTGACCACTACGTTTACTTCCAGCAACAATTTGGGGCTGGTGATAACTGGTCTCACCGAAGCCGATGTGGGAACGTACACGTGCACAGCCACCTACTCAAATTCCGAATATCTGGTTCGCAGCGTGATCATCGACAGTTTCTGTAAGTCGTCCTCCACAGCATCGTCAATCTATCTCATTATCGTCCTTCGATCGAGTTGTCTGTATCAGTGTTTCCAATTTTTCAGCCATCCCTCTACTTATATATATATATTATATGCCAACATAGAATATAGATTTATTTATGAATCAAATATTGAAACCATACGCGACCCTTAAGGGTCGCGACTCCCAGGTTGAGAAACACTGATCTATTTACCGCAGTTATATATAAAATTCTTACTTTTATTGTCGTTGGTATTTTATTGTTTTGCTTTTTCTGTGTGTATTTTACAAAGACGATATCACGTGGGTGGACGCCCCCACCGAACAATATCCGATCGCCGGAACTAGTTACAAAGTGCGCTGCAAAGTCAAGGCCAATCCCGCGCCTCTGGTCGACTGGTACAAGGAAGACACCAGGATTCAAGACGGTAACGGATTCGTCAAGGACATTGACGGTCTGCTGATCCAAAACGTCACCGCTGAAGACGATGGCCTGTACAAGTGCCGTGCCATCGTGTTGGACACKGGTAACATCCTGGACAGAGACATCAGAGTCGAGGTGAGTGCGGCAATATTGTTTAGGTATTTGAAATCGTCGAAATTTTATGTTGCCCCGAGCACAAATCCGTTCGCTAAAGTTCGATTTCAATAGACAATTTGACTAACCGATGCATCGCGATGGTGGTTAAAACCTTGCCACGTAGTTTTTGAAGAACTTCAAAAATACATACACTGAAGACATACAATTTAAGTAAAAAATCAAGTATCAAATCAGTAAGCTGCAGTGCTCAAAAAGTTTGTTTTTAAGAATATAGTACCTATATGTTTTGCATTCTTGCYGAGTATCCCATCTGCTAGCTTAAAAATAATTATGTGTTCATTTCACGTTTTCGTTCCATAATATGYTGTATTCTATAATTATATATATTTTTTAAATTGTTTTCGTTAATATAATCAATKTAGTTTATCATATTTTTGCGACGTCGATACTTGGTAGTGAATATAATAGCTGACCGCCAAAGTTATGCACGGTAATGCGGGTGGGTCAAATCAATGACAAATATACTTTTGCGTAGAAGGTGGGTGGGTGATAATTGAACCGAGTTTTTTTTTATGAACTCGGCGTTACATCAGGTCCACGTGGCTAACTATAGTATTCCTGATATATCCATAATAATATGTTCAATACAATAACTGTTCTCCTATCGTGTGCGTATAGGTTCACATCCCGCCGACGTTCGCTCCCGACCAAGTGTCCCAGCTGGAAGTGGTCGAGGGTGAGATGGCCAGCGTGAGATGCGCGGCCAACGGTAAGCCSGAACCCAAGGTGACGTGGATACACATGCCGGATCAGCGAGACTTGAGCGAGGGCACTGAAAGGTATTCTGTGAACAAGCTGACGGGTGTGTTGAGCCTGAACCGTATCAGCCGCACCGACAACGGTCAGTTCAAGTGCGTGGCCAGCAACGCAGCCGGTCAGATCGAGCGGTTGGTCAACGTGGTCGTGCTCATTAAGCCYGAAGTGCTKGATGTAACCAACGTGTCCGTGCCCATCAACACCGAGGCCAGAGTCAAGTGCACTGCAAACGGCAACCCACTGCCGTCGATCATGTTCAGGTGAGTCGTTGGTCAGGTTAGGTTAGGCCGATTGGCTGTTACTTAATCGATTGGCTGTTATGAAAATGATTGATATAACCATCACAATATATTTTGAGATGCATATCGTAGATGTGACTTTGTTTTAAACACRATGATGACAAAAAATTTACAAAAACAATAATTTAATAAATAAAATAATAACTCGATGTATCATAACTCWGTTATGTGATGCCCAAATATTATATTATCTTCCATGTGAGATTTATTAGCTCTAGAAGGTGTGTGAACGTTCGAATACGATACACATCAGCTTTACTGTAGGGTTTTTGTATAGGCAACTTTAACGACATTATATCGTAAATTTAAATTTAAATCTTCTAAGATACTATATATGTAGTACATTGTTAAATTTAAACTGTTGTGTAACTTATTAGTGGTCTCATTCAAGTCCTGTTGGAAGTTGTTGCGTAATTACGATGTCTCAAAGATAAAGTTTCTGGAAAGAACCAAAAAACTCATGACTATTGTTTCGAAACCAAATTTCTTTCATTAAGTAAAGAAAACCTTATTGGAGCCTCATAACTTTTTTGATATCACTTTTACTGCCTAGCTATTTAGTGCTATTTTAATCAAATTCTCTCTTCTGCCTAACACAGTGATGTTACCTACTGATTGATTGACTCTCACTGATCGATTTCATGTAGTTCCATCAGTGGATGATAATATATTCACCCGAGTAGGTACACAKCAGTATCTCAGTATTTATACAMTTTATCTAAATTCTTTTATTATGCAAATATATTTAYAGATAATATTTAATAAAAATATGTTGAAAAATTGATTTCAATTTATTAGGAGCATCGGTGCATGTCTGCAGCGAGAAACARTTTTATAAAAAAATTAAGAACGTGCCTGAGGCCATTCACTAAATTAATTTACTGTTATACAGTTATTTCGGATCACGTGACAAACGACATCAGCAATGATATAGGATTTTCCTGAAATATAATTTAATTTACAATATTATTGGTATTACTAGACCTATCTTCTGATATTTTTCTGAACATAATATTTCGTTTAAATGTCCATATTATATTAAACCATTTTAAAAATCGCAGGCCTGATGTCCTCATCATGTCATCTACAATAAATTCATTTATGGATAATGTGTAGGTTTATATACGTATATATGTATTATGTATAATATGTACATAATTCATAGCACGATAATATTTTGTGAAGTATTGTAAAACTATAGACTTTATTATTCGCGAGACATACCGGCGATGTTGGTGAATAAAAAACGTCCTTTACTATAGATTTTTCATTTCACGGTTGTCTGGCTTATAATATAACATAATATGTAATATAACGTTATAATATACGCACGTGATTCCGAACGTCCACTGCAAACAACCGACATAAATATACAGCGACCCCTCCCCCYTCCCAYCCGTGACCATTTCCCTCGATTTTCCTACACATTGCACGTGCGTTTCTTTTACTCTTGTTCGGTACACTTTATTTACCTACCTATGTWTTATTTCGTGTATCTTATAATAGTTTTCCGCTGTAAAAGCAAACTATACGTATCAGTCTAAAATGTGTTTGTGTTTTTGTCGCGTTCTCATTAGAAATTTCGTTTTCTAAGTCGTACGCGTCGTAGACCTTTACCACAGCGTTGAAATCGTCCCGTCAAACAAACAGACTCGTCAATAACACGAAAACTAAATAAAATCGTACTTTAGCATACACTCACGTGGTACCCTACTGTTGAGCGTACGGCAATTCTTACGTTTGCCTTATCATACCATAAGTCCATATAAACGTAGAATGATATTACTGCCGTTACGACGATGACATTATATCAGTGGTGGCCCCAAGTTGTGGCTATCGTCTTCTTAAAAAAAAAAAAATTAAAAAATATTTACTTATTTATATGATAAAATGTATAAATTGTATTTAAAAAACATTTTGGCTCTTGATATCATTGTGTTTATTTATGTGGCTCGTGGACGTATTCATGTTGGCCACCTCTGCATTAAATATTATCTTTGATATCGCGATTCCGTGGACTATGCATTTTAATAATAATATAATTACTACCTATGTTTTGTTTGAACGTGGAACAGTCGAGAAAATTATCATCGGGATAAGCTATTATACCGCGTGTACCTGTTATACAGGGTGCAACAGAAAGACCTGATAAAAAATTATGCTAATTAAACGTAGGTATGACAAAATTTTTTAATATTATTTGATAAGTAAGTATAATTTAAAAAATATACTCATGTCAGCAGATTCTCAAAAATCATATTTTTGAAAAAGTTATAACGTTCATCTAAATTAATTTAATCAAAAAATATTGAATTTAAAAAAAAAAAATATAAAAAATAAACTTCTTGACTTAGATAAATCTTTTTCCCATCAAAGGCTACTTTGAACTTATCCAAAAAATGTTTTCTTAAATTTTATAATTTATTATTTTCAATACTATAGCATAAATCAAAATAAATGTATTATATACATTTATAGCGCTAGGGTCACTTAATGAACAAAAAAAAAAACAAATAATTAAAAAATATTAATTTGAACAAAAGTCAGATCTATCTGTTAGACCTTGTATACCTGGAGACGTTTTATATTATATGTTTAGGTTTTATATGATAATATGGTTATACGTCGCGCATAGGTGCGTGTTTGTTTAATCCGATTACAATTCTAGAATATTATACGGTTAGTTGGGAGTTTTCATTGTTTTAATTACTAGTTAGTACGCCATTTCCGGGGGATGGRGGTAGTAGATACCTACCTAACTTTAACGGCGTGCACGAGAACTTCAACGACCACAACAAGTAATTTCCCGTCTGAAAACATMGGAAACGCTTCCGATGCTGGTACAATAAGCGATCTCCGCATACTCTGTTTCGAATAATCAGTAAAATAATAATAATAATAATAATATTAATCGTTAAAGTTTTTAATTAAGTTGCTACGATGAGCGGCGAAACGCTACTGTATGAAACGTTTGGGCACTTCGAGGAAAAAGGCGTTTATATATTATAATGTGTTTTAAAGATCGTTGCAATGTAATRCAATTACGAAGATGATTACAATATTATATTATTTATTTATATATGTGCGAGCACATTATGCTATATATTTTATTCCACAAACAATAATATAGTATACATTATTGAATCTCAATAGTATTAATTTATTCAGTATCAATGGCATATTTAAAACTTAATTTTTTTGATTTGGGAGGGCGAAAAATTTATAAAATTCTATGTAGTAAATATGTACTCAATAAAATTACAAAATAAAATCAATTAGTGTTTTATTTTACTTATTTATTCGTTAGTTGCTTCATAAATTTCAAAAGTTAACCCTCGGTGAATTAATTTTTTAAGACAAGACCTCAACATTTTCTTCTATACGATTTTGACACGATTATTTTACAATAAAAAAWAATCTCTGAAACTCCCAGCACCCTCTCCCCACATCCAGTAAATACGCTTCTGCACCTGTACCGTTCGGTGTATAATATGCATCCACGACGAATAATATAATATTAAAATATTATTTTTATTTTTAATTTATTACAACATTACTTATGCCAATATTATATTATACGTCGTGGAAGTAAGTTCAGTTTAAATAACAATATTGTCTTTTCTTTTTGTTAATTCGATATCGATAACCATTTTGAAGGAGTTAAATGTAGGCAACTTATTAAGTGCGTTATGTATGAGTTTTTTTGTTGTGCGTAGTATATAAGTGGTTATTATTTATATATATGGAAAAAATAGTTTGTGATGTATAACATAATAGATTAAAAAAATAGAAGTACCTATGCGAGGTGCATATGAAAAAAACATGTTTTTGTCCATCGTACCAATTAAACTATTGCAATCCATTAAAAATCTGAAAACATGTTTAGTTTTTATAAAGTTCAATTGATGTCGAACATATTATTTATTTTCGATTTCGTATAATATTAATGATTAAAATCAAATTTTAACGTGCAGTGACAAAATGCGAAATTGGATAAAGTAGGCATCTAAATTGAGTGATTAACCTAAAAAAATTCATACCAAATTATCGCAATATAGTTTTCATGTTATTTATCTCGCCACTATAGTATTTTTTCTCGGTAAGATGCTCAAAATATATAGGCATGTTTTCTACTCAAAAAACGGTCGGTATTGATTTCAATAAAACTATACTGTAAATCTCGATATCGATAATTAAATATAAGAGGCGGCAGTGGATGCATTTATTTCATATAATATTTCATGTTGTACAATTTTAATGACATTTTCACTAGGTTGAAAAAAATGAAATCCATAACAAACATACTATATCACCAACGCGTACTCCAAATCTAATCGTGATCAAAACATTCATCTAACAAAAAACCTGTGCGCAAAAAAAAAGTCGAGGATATCTACGACTACAAGACGCGCTTCAGCGTGTTTATATTAATGTCTTTAAATACAGTTATAATTTAATTTAATTTGATCATAACTTTTAGAATAAATAACGTAGCCAAGATTAACTCGGTAATACTTTGCTTGTAAATCGCGCAATAAACAAGAAACTTTTACATTTTGATGTTGCTGTAAATTTAAAACAAAAACATTTTTTTTTTTTTATAAATAGAGTTGCCATTTTTTACATTATGAATGTGTCACAACCCAATTTAAAAAAAAAAAAATAACAACAAAAAACAGATTTATAAACTATAACCATTTAAAGTTTGAGGGGAGAAAAATATAAAATGCTGTAACACGGAAATAAGCCAAAAGATAAAGTAGTCATTGCTGCAGCAGCTATACTACCTACCTATATATATATATTTACTATCGTTTCACTTTTTTATTCGAACACATCAGAATTTTTAACTAATCTGAGTCTGCTGCTGCAGAAGCGTACGATAGAATAATACGTATATTGTATTGAAGTCAATATTATACATTTCGAGACGCRCCGAGTTATAAAGACCACYGCCATCGAAATTTAATAATACTTATAGTATACCTATTACCTACATGAAATGCATTTTATAATATATAATATACACCACGAAGACGCAGATGCCTGCCACCTCATCTACCCATGTTCTTCATAAATTAAAAAKTTATATCGGTCGATATCACRCGTTGATAACGCGTATATTTKTTCTTTATATTATTATAATATTCTCTAACGGACACCRCACTACAGCAGTAGTGACGGTATAATAATAATTTACAAACGAATAACAATATAAACTGCATCGGTGTAATAATATATAATACGCTGCTATAACGGTGTGGTTTATAGTACGCTTCGCCTATTATATTATGAACATTTTACTAACCCAAACTGTGTACTAAATAATTACAGGAGAGTGGGCACGAACGTCGTCATAAAATCGGGAATCGAAGACTATCGCATTAGCGTGGAGCACGACACCGTTGGGGACTTGGCAACGGCYACTCTTGTGATTAAACACCTGAACCGATCCGACGATGGACTGTACACGTGCATCGCGCTGAACAAGGTACGTATATACTATGCGACATTTAAACTGTCGTTATTTACTATTATAGGTATAAAATATAGCTGTTTAAGCATCTATACCTATACGGTTCGGCCATTGCGGATGAGCCGTATTTGCCGACTGTGGTACGTCAATTATTAAAATTTCTATCTGCTAAACGAAGCCAACGACCCAAAAGCCATTATACTAAAATAACATAACCAATATTGACGGTGGCTGTTTGTGTATATTATAATATAAATGTATATATAGCTAAGTGTACCGGTTGATCCGTTTAATGTGTGATATTCATTATTTCAAAAACTATTTTAGATTTTGAAAGTTTTTTTATAATTTTAAATCGTTTAAAAACGATATTTTTGTAAAAAAAAAATTATAGTTATTACGTTTTTTTTTATCATTTATGGTTTTTTTTTTTACTTTTTACTCTTTTGAATGAYGATATATATTTTTAATTTCTAATTCTGAAACAGAATTTAGTACGTCAAAGTATTCAAATCGAATTTAGGAAGAATTTATAACTATAAATTTATTATTATTAAAATTAATCGAAATCATAATTAGCAAAGTGGAGTGAAGCAGCAGAGGTCGACCCTGGCCGATTACTCCGCTCATCTTAGAACTAATAAACAATTTGTCTGAAATTTAATTTTTATAGATCGAGATACTCAGGGTAAAATTTTGCTTTAGAGTAATATAATATTGTATTTGGTGTTTTCTGAAATTATGATTCGTATCTTACATAAAAAGGATCACTCCGTATATTATTTTAATTCAAGTGATATGAAACACATACAAACACTAATCGGAGGTGAACTGATCGATATCTGCAGAATATTGTTGTTCATTGACGTTAAGACCGTATTGAACTGTGCTTTATAAATAATATTATAAAATAAAACGATTRTAAGCCGCCACCTTAGTTCGAAAATTGTGTTATAGAGTTCATCGAAATGATCCGTGAAATTTTTAAAAAACTTGTCACACACACACGACTAGGTAGCTATATAAAATTATGATATTTTTAAATGATTGGTTACGTATAGTTCGAATTTTGATTCATATTCAACAATACAAATAATATATATACTTGTAATGATTTTTCCTAAATAGATTTAATTTAATTTGTCAAAATTAAATTTTCATTTAAAAAAAATAAGAAGTTCGTATTACCGCACTTGAGACTTGRCACATGAAAAATTTAAGTATATAAGGTATAGAAACTAATTTTCTTAAAGACGAAGACAATTTCGAAAATAGGAATTCGATTAACTTCGTCGTCACATAAAAGTTAAAATTTGATTGAGCATGCGACCACCTGTATAACCACGTTTTACTATTATTACCTGTAAATAATTATCCATAGTTATTTATTGTATAAATATAATCGTGAATTTCGTAACGTCTCAGGGCGGCGAAGGGACGAAAAACGGACATCTGACCGTCGAGTTCCCGCCAGTGTACGCCAGCAACATGGTGAAGGAGGTGTGGACGTGGAACCGGATGCCAGTGAACCTGTCGTGCATTTCCGAGTCGCTGCCGAACGCTTCGATCACGTGGATGCTCAACAACCGTTTCGTGGAGGACGACATCAACGTGCAGAAGTTCGGCAAGGGCCCGTATAGCAACCTGTTGGTGACACCGGTGGATCAGCACTACTACGGCGTGTACTCGTGCCTGACGAAGAACATTCACGGCGAGAACACCGCGCAAATCACTCTCCGGGAAGCTCACCGTCCGTCCAAAGTGTCTCAGACCAAGTTCGAAGTCATCACCGGTAAGTGCAGCCGCGCGGGCGTCCCCGACCCGTCCACGAAAATCGATCCTCATTGCGATCGGCGATGTTTACAGAAACAAGTATCTATATATACCACGTAAATTCCACCCGACCGACTYTTAAGGTCTTCTGCGGACTWGTAGGTATTTATTTGCGYGACAGCCATACGCGAATTACGTTTTTCTACTAACCCATACGGAAATACGATGTAATGTAAATTCCGATAATGGCGGTGTCGTTGAAAATCAAAAAATTATACGTATGCATTTGAAAATAATTGTTAATGGACATATCACATATAAGTAGGTACTATAGTTGTAGGTAGGTATACGGCGTACAATCAATTGTATTCGACTATGATTATTGATCAGGTGTGAATGGTGTGATGTATATAGTTGTCTGCATTGATAGATATCGGCGGTGGAAGAGTGGCTTAGCCAGCTGCACCAAATATCCCATTAGCCCCCTAAGCATCACAGACAGCTTTTTAGTTGCCGAAAGCCAAACTCGCTCATATCTCTCTAACTTTGTAATGGATTTCCCCCTATATTATATGTACCTACCTATATTTATTTATAGTATTGCACTTTATACTACGCTAAGTGTCGTCATCATCGATTTATTATTTTTGGAACATCATCTTTACTAGATAATATCATATTATATAGGTATTACATTAATATTGTAATAATTCAAAATCAAATATTCGAGCAATAAAAATTAATGTTATAGTCAGTCCCATATTATTGAATGCGTCATCGTGTTATTTATTTTGGTTTCAATGTGAAAAGTTGAACGACATAAATGGTAATTTTTACAAAATTACCATTAACTTACTTAAAATATTAAGATAAAAATAATAAAACTAAACTGCAGTTCACAAAATATAGCGTTGGGGCAGGTGTTAACATGTTTTTTTTAGGTAAAAAAATCGTGTCGAAAGAATATTTACATATAAATCCCATAACCATCTTTTTAAGGGACCTGATAAAATTATGTACATTCAAAAAAAAAAAATTATAATGTTCATTGTCATGACTTTTTTGTCTAAACTTGATAGATATTGTTATGTTTATGAGACATTATTGATTTAAATGATACATTTTTTTTTATTAACATAATTTAACTGTAATGCATGTTTTGTGATTTATTAAAACCAAAATAATATGAATCCAGTGATTTTCTTTTAATGAAAAAACAATTAAAAAAGTTATGGATTCATTTAAGAGTGCAATAGMATCACAAATTATTTATCTTACCATAAAAAGTAACGTGCATTTTCTCACTAAATATATTTTAAAATTAAGAAATACTTCATTTTAGTTAATGGTAAGTTTTTTGGACATTATTTACATCAATTTTATGTAGGTATATATTTTGTTCTCTTATCTTATTCGTATATCATATTTTAACAGGATTAAATAAATGTCTATACATAATAACATTTAATTTTCGATTTGAGTTATTATTTTTTAATCGAGCTGTCATCCTGAGCATTAATTGTCAATAGTTGTTGCATGACACAGATAATAATAATTATTAATATTTTCAAAGAATTGATATATAGCATTGTACAAAACCAAAATACGTGAAAAAAATTGTTACCTTTAAAAGAGRGGAACTTTTATCGTGCAATAAAGTTTTGTTTTTTTTTTCGATATCTGCAGCAGCCGCCATAATGTTAAAAAAGTTATTCGAGTTTGAAAAACATAAAAAATAATGGATTTAAAACAATAATAACTTATTTTTTATTGAACAAGTGATATCCATTAAACAAAAACTATATTGAACAGTCAAAATGTCCWCGTAAAAATCTGGTGTTGCTCAGCTATACTGTAAGGAATGTATAACTCCCGCGAATAACCACCAATGCTCGTGTCTATATAACGGTTTTTAATAAACATTTTACGGAGGTTTCAAGTCCCCTTGAAGTGTTAATTATACTCAATAAACGTTAGCCCAAAAGCTCGCCCTGCAGTTTTTTGTTAATACCGATTTTGTTTCGATAACTGATCTATATGTGCTCTTTTCAGCTACGACGATTTCATTTGGTTTCGTGAGCCCGACAGACACGGGAGGTATCAAAATCAAAGCTTACGCCGTCCAGTACAAGGAGGTGAAACAGTCGTGGGATGAAGGTCGCAACAAGTCTTGGCCAGTGGGTAAGTATCTACTGCAACTGTCTGCAACTCGCAATTGGCAATTGATAGTGTAAATAGGTTAAATCSTCTGCCTGTAGTGGAGGGAAAGCTCAGCTTTTCCCAAGCTGATTTATGGAGAGGGAGCATTCCGGTTTTTCGCAACAATAAAACAATTCTTCGCGTTTTCATTTTGACGACTATAACATTGCATAATATTTTAATTTTTTTTAATTTGAAACAGCGTGTACAACAATAATATTATACCAACGTCGAGATWACTTGAAAACAACTAATTTTTATGCCAAATTCTTACAAAATAACATAAAAGTCATGACCTGATAGTACCTACATATATATACCCACGTATTATATATGTAACCATTACCACGAATCATCTGTGTCTCGTATTGGTACTTAGGGTCAAAACAATTTCATATATGCTTAAATTTTAATTGTCCAGGCACCTTTCGTTGAACACAATTYGTAAAAAATTCTTATGAACGCCACAAAATTCGTGTGTTTATCGTAAATAGAAGGATACATTTTTTAAATATACTTCATAGAAAAACAAATCAAATTTTCTTAAAATATGATCATTTTTATTTAAATATTAATGCTGCGGTCTTTTTGTTTATTTTAGTTGTTGTATTAATTCATAATGTTATAACTTTTTTTATTGGTACCTACAATTTTTTTCTCAAGCTCATTTTTAAAATGAAAATGCAATTTATATAGAAACCAATTGTAGTGCTTATTTTTATGTAATTTGGAGGAAATAGGGAAAAATGCACGTATCTACAACAGTTGTTAGATTCACCTGGTATAGTGCAAAATCTGGCACTGATAATAATATTTTAATGTCAGAATACTTATGTAAATCAATTTTGTCATCAGTTATTTTCATTGCACGTAATAATATGCATTTTAAAAATTCTTCTAAATAAATGTGTACAACAAATTAACATATTCATATACATTAAATTAGACACGCCCTACATACTGGAAAATCTGGAAGCGCACAGGACCTATACATTCAGGTTTGCCGCCATCAACGACGTGGGTACCAGCGACTGGAGTCCCGTGGAACAGCGCACCATGCCCAAAAGGAGTGCTCCCGAGGAACCAAAAATATTGGTCAACAAGGACGTGTACACCGATGATTACATCAACTCGCCTTATGGCAACAGCTACGAAGTGAACTGGAAGATTCCGGCCGACAACGGGGAGCCCATAAACCTGTACAACGTTCGGTATTGCGTAGTAAGTGAATATATAATATAAGCACATAGTTTATAGGTATGCATATTAAGTATAATGTATAGAGCCGTTATATTTACCCTCCCTCAAATTTTAAACTAGGTAATAAAAAAAAAAATCTATCAATAATTCTACTTATCTTATATTTATAATGATTCGTAAATTTATAAATTGCGAAATGAAAATGTGTAAATCACCACGAATTATTATTTATTATTTTTTTTTTWAAATTAAAAGTGGACATAAWKTAGCTATAATTTGATACGATAGCCAGCTCGTTTATATATACTGTAGACTGATAGCTGCTTAATAGATATATCAACGTGTTTGATAATACAAAAAAAAAATCAAGTCATCGCCCCTCCAAAGTAACATATTGTTACTATTATTTTTATATTTTATCATTTTTTTTTTTTAAATTTCTTTACTTCATATACATTTAAATTTCGTATAAAAAGCAGATTCTATATAAGTTATAAGTAGTATAGGTTATAAGTATTTGGAAGTATAGATGAGCAYTACATAAACTCAATCATTTTGCCCTTTAGATGTGCCACTCCGTTCTGTCCATTTGTTATTTAATCACATTTTCTTTTTCGGTGATATAATTTATTAATATTACTCCGATTTTGTATTATTATATTATCATACGCTCGACTTACAAATGTTTTTTTTTCCGGTCGTAAAACTATACATTTTCAATAATTCCCAAACAAACTATCATTTTTTTTCATTAACTCCCGCCATTTCGTGTTTCAGGCCGAAAAGATAAATACCATGTGGGTAACCAGAGCAGAATCGTGCCGGAGCGAGGACCTCAGGTCTCCGGACAAGACTTCGTTTTTGATGGACAACCTAAACGCCGACACGTTTTACAGAGTGGAAGTCAGAGCCCACAACGAAATTGGATTTAGCGTACAATCGGAACTCGTCTTCAAGACTGCCACCGGTGAGTACCCGATAATGATATTATAATAAAAATACTTCATATGACAAAATAATATTTTTGAAAAAAACATAATATTTCACTTGTATGCGCTATAACGAAACGCTAGTGGTTTGCGCTGCGGTGGAGTTTTAATGAACATGCAATACTAAAACGTTTGTACTCTCATCGTCTCGTATTTATATATTATTTATATGAGCTCGAACACTCTGTATAATATATAGGTAATATATTGTACCTACAGATCAGAGATGGGTGTCCGCGGAGCATCGCTGCAATTTCTTTACACATATAGTACATAATAATAATATGCTCGTGATTGAAAACGTTTCTATATAATATGTACGATTTGATTAAAAGTTAAAACTTTCGTTTTTGATTAACGTAAGTGCATAATATACTATTATTATTGCCTACGCGTTTTTATACTTTGATGAGAAAACCCGTAAAATTCGTCGAAACATTTTTTTTTCTCTACATTATCTTTTAAAACGTTTTCGTTTATTTTCCAAGCATAAAGTCACAATACAAATACCTAACTAATAAGTACGTTTTCGACTGCACAATATTATTATCGCATAGCAACCAATTAGTACTTACATAGGTATGTATAGTTATACGCACAGCTTAATCGTATACTCCATGAGAGATCGTTCGCTCTCGAATAGAACGTACATATTATATACCTACTTACCTATACCTACCTATATACCGTGTTTCGGCGGTGTATTCATCAGTTAGCAGCATACCACGGTATAGCGTTATTTACCGTTTCTAATTAACGCCAAAGTTAACCTTAACGAACGAACGATTTGGCGTAAAAATAATCGCCTGCACGTTCGCCGTAAACACAAACACAAGTCCGTGTTAACCTACCCGTAGTGTAAAATATGTGAATTGTTAGCTATATAATATGCATATATACAGTGCACGTCGCCTCGGTGCAGTGTGTTCATTATAAAATTGAGATTCTCGTGTGTCTTTCGAGGCGTCCCCCCGCAAAGCGCATCTATACTATGTTACAAATTGCATATTATTCGAGTACAATATTTTCAGCACGACATGACGTTATAATATTGTRTTTGCATAAATCATTTTTTGTGAGACATTATAATATTATAAAAACGTTATAATATACTGTGATTGGTGATTGTAATCTAGGTGGTACGTAGCGACTTTAAAAATATATTACATCACATTCAACGTGTGGAATTTGTGTGGCGTTTTTATTTAATGTTTTTTTTTTTTTTTTTTTTTTTTTTTAATCATTATATTGTTTTGATATTATTCTTATTGTTTTTTTCCATCATATTTTTTGTATTCTTTGTGCTGTTTCTTTACGTATTATTTTATATTGGTAGAGCTTCAAAAGATTTATAATATTCTCTTTGGCAAACGGGATGCGTCTGCTATTTTTAAATGTTTTTAACTGCATGCATGTTGGGTTATTAAAAACGTTTTTCGTGTTTCCTATTCATTTTATAATAATAATATTACATAATCAATCATTGTTGATATTAACACGGTAAATATTTAATCATATGCGTGTGTTGTTCATTATATTATTATATTCAATAAGAATATTATAATATATATTATAGGTATTTAATATGAAATGCTGACAAGAAAAATATGGGTTGTATGATTATTTAGTTTTTTTTTTTTTTATATTTTTACGGTAAAAATACCTTTTATTCAGTGAATTATAATTATATTAACAATAATTGTATTTAAAAAAATGTTATCTACTTTTTTTTCGTATACAGATTATAGCCTTAATATTTCTAGAAATTGTTTATCTTTTCTTATTGTCAGCGTCTCATACTATTATGATACACCTATCATCACGATATATGGGTACCTATATCTACTTATAACATAATATTAATAAAATGTGCTTTTCATTAACTCGTCAACGACTTTCTGCTTTAGTACGAGTATGATATTTTAATAATTTATATGTATGTAATATTATAATAATATACGTTATACCCATCATAATATATGTATAGTTTGTGCATATATATATAGATTTAACGTCCCGTTTAATATAATTAATTACAGCAAATACCCAACACAATATTATTATGCTACCGACTGTGCAGTGCGTAATATATAAACGCCACAACCCCGTAAATTAACAAACACAAAGTTTAAATGTGCAYGGCGAGACTTTCACCATCGACTTAAAAATCTTGTCAACGCGCGTAACCCTCTAGATATAACAGTAATAAAAAATAATAATAACGGCGACGAAAACGTAAAGTGATGTAGTATTATAATAGGTACYTATTCAATTCTCGATAGACATTATTATAATACGAGTAAATTCCGCTTACAAAAAGGGGGGGGCTTTTTTTGCTGTTAGTATTACGGAAAACCCGTTTCGAAACGGTACGCCATACTTTTTTTGGACGGACAAAATGAGTGGCGGTCGCTAACACCGCGCAAGCCTTTTGATATTTTTACCGTATACCTACCTATATATAATAGTGCGATGATGTAGTAGGTAGATACTGTTGGACGTGTCGGCTGGCCGAGGAATCGTGTCGATTTAAATGACGGATTAAAATAGTACAATATATACATACCCCCACCACCCCCTTCTTGTGAACAAGTCGCGATGAAATGTTTGTTTTCCAAAACGAATATGATTATCGGGCGGGCCGATCAACCGTCGAAATCATAAGTTGAACATATTATATTTAAATAGGAAATATAATATTTAATACTCAWTGATAATAATATTATTCATCGTATATGATTATCAGCTAGTGTATGTACTATTACCGTCGTTTCCTAACCCCGCTCGACAGCCTATGGACTGGTTTATTTTTACTTTACGTTTTTTTTTTTTATTCACCCGTGCTGTCTCCATACAAAATGCATACCTGACTTTTTTTCTCTCTTTTCCCCGAGACGATGTATTCTCTGCAGAAACACGACCGCCCTTGACACTTTTACAGTACCTATGCCGCAATAATATATATATATAAATAGTCAAGTATAATATAATACATTTCAAGTGTTAGTTTTACATAGTTTGCACGAACTTCCTTCTGCCACAACCCTCGCCGCCGACGACGCCTTCACCACGCACTCGCCACTCATCTCTAGCTTACACCCGGAAACCACCTCGCGAATATACAACTCGCCACCTCGCGCGGGCCTTACATCTTTTTTTTTTAGTTGTATATTATTATTATTATTATATATAGTAGTTAAGCGGTGTGCGTGTATGAGCGTTAAAAATCTCTCAAAGTAGCTCTGCTGCAATAAAAAAAAAAAACAAGCGTGACGACCGAGCAACAANGTATAATATAATACATTTCAAGTGTTAGTTTTACATAGTTTGCACGAACTTTCTTCTGCCACAACCCTCGCCGCCGACGACGCCATCACCACGCACTCGCCACTCATCTCTAGCTTATACCCGGAAACCACCTCGCGAATATACAACTCGCCACCTCGCGCGGGCCTTACATCTTTTTTTTTAGTTGTATATTATTATTATTATTATATATAGTAGGTAGTTAAGCGGTGTGCGTGTATGAGCGTTAAAAATCTCTCAAAGTAGCTCTGCTGCAATAAAAAAAAAAAACAAGCGTGACGACCGAGCAACAACCCGCCTGTACAGGGCTGGGCCTTTTGTCCGCCGCCGTCTTTATATTTACTCCAATTTAAAAGCGACTGTGTAACGAAAATGGCTTTTAACGTCCGTTGCCGCCATTGAGAATTGTGCGGCATCAACGACGACGACGTGAAGAGAAAGTGCGCATAATTCCCAGTTTTAACGCTGTTTATATTTTAAGTGTATATAYAYAACGCGTGCACCGTTCTCTGCCTCTCTCCCTCTCTCTCYGAATTTTCTCCATTTTATTTCTGCAGCYAACACTGTGTTATTATATACAGTTGTGATAAATGCGTCATTCTCTTGCCGTGATTCGGAAAAATTTAATTATTCAAAACACTGCTTGTCGAAACGCTGCARCTTGTAACAAGAATTCCCTTTGTTTTGCGTGGAAACAAAGTGACCGACTGTACGACGACGACACGTTTATTAAATATACGTGTTCGTGTTCTTTCGTTAATATTATATAATGCAAACACTTAGCTGCAGTAAAGTAAGGGGAGGGCACGATTTAATCCGCCATTTCCATCCACCTCCCCCCTGCACCATCTCACGACAAAAAGAAATTGTAATTGGGTTTTCATCGAACTCGCTTGGAAAAAAAACTCGACACGTGTGCCCACAACCGACGGGCTTTTATTTTATTTTTTATCTTATGATGTGTAATGATAATAGCTTACTTCCGAAGCCAACTGCAGTTGTCCTGTTACTGGCTCATCGTTATACCTTCCTCCCAGAAGCAATCGTGTTCCAATAGATTCGCTCTAATATAGTTTAATTTGTATACGCTGCATTCGCGGTGTCCCAATTTATATTACGCTTTGACGTGGCTAACAAGTTCAACCCTTCGGTGTCTGTACAACATAATAATAATTGTTATTATTAGCGTGTTGAACGATAGGTGAAAACGAACAAGTCGTAAAATAGTTTGTTACATAGTTTCCGGAATTGAGTTTATAATAGATCGCACGCGAGAGTGTGCTCGACAAAACATTTTGCGGTCCTCGCAACAACGATATCGTTGTTACAAACTATAATATGTTTATTAGGGCTGAGGAATTTTAATTTTTTTTTTTTCATATTCGTTTAGAAATGACGTAGAACAATGTGATTTGTCTGTATCTAATTATGTGTCATAGCACTAGCAAGACATAATAGGTATCTATGATATTTTGTACTTTGCCTATATTTACTCATTAAACTGCACATAATTGCATATATTATTTTGTATTAGAAAAAAGATAAAAACATATTTTTTTTTATAGTAAAGTCATGTATCTTACTATAATTAGTACCTATAATTGTCATTTACACGAGATTAAATAAAGAAATTTTCTGTATTTGTGTACCAAACATTTTCGACGAGATAATTTCCTATTTTAATCAAATACATTTTATTTTGTCAAACTCAAACTAACATCAAGACGTGTTTCAGCATCTAATTATAATATTTTGAATARTTATGTATCGGACGACAACGCGAATACATAAGGTTGTGGTATATTATAATAATVWATGAAAAATTGTAATCGCCGTTACATTGACATCAAGCGCACGACAAAGACTAAAACGACTGATAAAAAAGTAACAAAATAACAAWAGATAATAATTGACTACAGCAATAACCTGTGCAGCTTTTTTATATTAACCGCATGGTATTTCAAAGATTTTCCTTTTCAATTTAAAATGCCATGTTGCATCACTGCGATTTGGTGGTGTATCGATTTGAATTCGTTTGTATAATATACATTTGAATTTTGTTCTAAAAAAATATTGCAGTKCTTCAAAATGATGAACAATTAAAAATATCCAATCTTACAAAAGCTGAAAACTTAAATTATAGATATCATTTCTAGTACAAATAAAATGTGATGATAATTTAAATTTTTTTTCTCTCGTCACGATCTAATAAAAGTGGTACGCTTACTTAGATAATATTATTTTCAAAATCCTAAACTTTCGAGAAAAAATCCATCAGCAGCATCGTGTTATAAAAACAATATTATAATATACCACTGTATTTATATACCAACAGCTATACCACCCAATACCAGTCTGTCGCTCGATTTTCTGTCGAAAAAATTCGACAAATGTAATAATAATAAGTAATAAAAACAGTCATCGTAACAATAACTGTAATTAAAACGTAATTAGCCGCATCCGTTCAGGGGAGGATGCGGGGTGCGACCGACACAGACCGGATGCTACTGTTGGTATACAGTCAAGCTGTTCAAACATTTACACATTAAAAACAATATATATATATAGGTATCTCAATTATTCTAAATAGTCTTATTGAGAATATTTTATTATGTGTAGTCAATTATAATGATTTATCGATATATCTTATATTATAAATGATTGAGCTCCGGTTTTAGATACACGAACGATATTAACATTATATTGTTATTGTTGTTTTTGTTGTTGAGCGTTTTAGTTTTTGCGCGGGGTAGTCGAGATGATGTGTGACGCACTATTTTAGTCAAAAACCGTATTTCTCATTTCCTCTTTCAGTCTTATTATAGTTTTGACAATTTCTCGTCGAACTTATAACAATATTATTGTATTCGTTAAAACGCCTAAACAATTTGTATACTAAATAGCCATCCTTACATATTTATTTTTATTTGTTTATTTATTTTATATCGTATACGGAACAGAAAAAGACGTCATCAAAACCTTTTTAAAAAAAAAACAACAACATTGTACACCGAACACTTTAAACGTGTTACAATTTTTTAATACCCATCTATTAATCATCAGGTATTTCAGTTGTTTGATTTGACATTATCGTGTTAACAACGATCAACGCGTAATCGTAAAATAATAATTCATTTATTGTGATAAGTAATTCATTTAATTTTACTAGTGCCCATCACATTTAACTCTTTTCTGAATCAAAATAATATATTGCATTCGTGCAGATAACTGTATATATAGGTATATAAAAACAGTGAATCGTAATGGCGGAAAATGCGAATATAATATTACTGACGGAAACGAGTCGTATAATCGCAAGAATAGTAGCTGACATAACTGTCTATTATTTACACGGTTCTATTATTTGTTTATTTTTCGTCCTCTTCGTCCTGCCACAACTTCTCCTMCACGCCGGGATAGTCCTTACGTATTATTATTATTATTATTGTTGTTGTTATTGCCGCCGTTGCCGTTTGTCTCGACCTTCCGTCTTTCAACAATAGTCAAAACACACCCTTTTGTTTGTTTGCTTATATTTTGTTTATTATTATTATTATTATTATTGTTTATTTGTTTTTCTATGTCTGCGAGCGTAATATCCAAGTGTGTTATATGTTGTGATTTACAGAGCAAACCGCAAAGGTGGCCGTCATCAACGCGGCGGCGACCGTTAACCGATTGGCCGTACGCGATTGTATTGTCGCCTTGTCGGCATTGAGCTTAGCTGCTTCCTTTGGCGGCAACCGCTGGTGGTTGTGCTAAAAAATAAAACTCATGTGAAACGTTTTTAGCATAATAATATTATTATTATTATTATTATCATTATTAATTTTTTTTCCGTTCGACTTACAGTCGCTATGATTTTTGTTTCATTTTTTTTTTTTACAATTATTCCTCGTAATTAATAAATTATTATTATAATGCTGTATTCACATCTATACTACGCTAACGATAATAATAATATATTATCATTAATCGTTTTTTTTTCTCACCGACAAAATATTATTATTTACTTGAAATAATAATACTTAAATAAGATTATAATCTTATTGTTATATGACTGCTAAAATTGAAACGTTTAATAACGGTTAGTGTTTAATAATATTATATATTATATTTTTACGTGCAGTACCTACGCAGATGCTGCACGTGGTAAGATATATATATATAATAATATTATTATATTATTATATTGTGTAGATTTTTAAGCCTTGTACTTGTCTAATATTATATTATATAAACAATTGTTGTGATAAAAATCGTATAAATTTTTGTAATGTATATGTGTGTATGAACTACGAATCTCTGGACGATATATTGACATATATATACATATATAGGTTTTTCTTTTCAATTTTACTCTGTATAGTCTGTCTCTTTATACATTCGTTTCCCTCCGCGAGATTTTTGTTTTCGATTTTCGTACAATATGTTAATAATAATAATATTATTCGTCTCTATTTCAAAATGTGTTACCGCCCAGTTTCGCGTTTTATCGACGCCAGTCATGATCATCAACGCACTGGATAATCATCGCGTCCCAGTCGTCCCACTAAAAAATTATATGACCATTATTAGGTTTCGTTCAATCGATTTGCGTCCATGTGCAGTTTGATGAGCGATTATTACTCATATTTTATCAGCTATGCTGGAAATGATAATATTATTAACTGCAGTTTACCATTACAGTTGTACGACGAACTCTGCGGCCACTGCGTATAAAATTATTATTCGCTATAATGCATAACCCATCGTCTAGACTGCGAATTTTACCGAGTRCACTCGTATGGGTAGTTGATTAAATACCAGGAAAACGTATTTGATCGTCAAAAACCATCCCGTCGATATTCGTTTACACCACTCCCTAACATATCGTTGGGGTACCTACTTTATTATAATATTGTTGTATGATTTCCGACCTAATAATAATATGATACGTTTTTATACCATAGGTTTTCTTCCCCGCATCACGCCGACGTCATAGTGATAATAGATTAATGAATTATGATATTATAAACTATATATAGGTACTACACCATCGTGTGTGTAAATATTATCCGGGCTTCATGGCATATAAATAATACTATAATATGAAATAACGTAGAGACGAATAATATTATTATTCGTTTAAACATTATTACCATAATATACCTAATATAATTATTTTAATATAGCGAGTAGGAGTCATACATATTATTATACATAAGCTATGTTTTTATTTCATAATTTTTCTTTTTCAATATATGATTAAAAAAAAACAATTCTTAAGATTTAAGTTTAACTCACTTTTTTTTAATAGTCACCTGTTTTAGATAAATGATTTAGATATTAAATATCATTATTACTATGTATAATTTGACACTGATTTTATTAATATACCTTATACCATTATATTGATATKATGATAACTATTATTATTATTGTATACTAAAATACGATAAAAAGTGTAAACAAAAACATTCACTAATTATGTTTTAGATTCTCATTAAGTAACTATACATAATATTATATGTAATAAAATAATGAAATTTTGTTGTAAATGCATTTAGAGATCTATATTATACTTACATAATTTTTATTAAAAAAAAAAACAAACTACGTATATAATATATATGTATAATGTAGTAAGACAATAATAAACGTATACATTTTTTTTTTAAATTTTTCAATGATTTGTGGTATTCGTTTYTCGGCTTGTGGTTGTCCAAGAAAAACTTAACCCCTAGAAATATTGTAATGTTGGGGTGGTTATTTTATCGCCGGACAGTCGCATTATTCCTCGAATTAGGTAAAGGTGAATAGCCAACCTAGCCGCAGAAGGGTCTGAGTTTTAGGTTAGGTTGGTGTGGTTTAGCTACGAGGGTCGTGTGTTTAGAGATATCGATCGTTCGGCGATAAAAAAAAAAAAAAGGATATACCTATATAAATACCCTCCTGTGCGTACTCGCCTGTATAATATTATATTAACAACGGTGCAACGAAAACTGCAACTGCAGCAGCAACATCATCGCAACGACTACAAAATTAATAATAATACTGTTTTAAAACACGACGATGACGTCGTGCCCGAAGAGGTAAGAGCATGACGCGTTTACGGATTTATAATATTAAGTGCACGGTATTCTCACTATATGTATGGTATTAAAATAATTTTTTCTTGCTTCTTCGCACCCCCTCATCACAGCAGCCCCTGCTGACGACGAAATCCGATAGCCGACGACCCGCCGTATACATATTATTATTATTTGGTATCATAATAATAATAATAATATCGTATCGGATGACGGTGATTTCGGATTTGTCACGTGGGTATATGTAGTTTTATACATCATCGTCACCACTGCAGACGATGTATATTATGTAATTCATACGACTATACGCGACGCACGCATACCCACCCGCATATATATCAGCAGCTAAAAAAAAAACGTTTTGTTTCCTTGGCTTTTGCACTAACGCTTCTTCGGTTTTATTATATAATATACTTACTTTATTAAATTTGTAATAATTTTTTTTTTTCACTTACACGTCTCCGCGTACAACACGACAACGATAATATAGTGATATGAGCCATAAACAGAGTGACATTGTGGCCACGTTTTCCGGCGAACGAGAGATGAGCGACGAGACGATGCGAGAAAACAACAAATAACATCTCTCGTCCCAACATAATATTTTTACGTCCTCGTATATTGTTGTTGTTAGTGTTGCACGCTTTGCAGCATGTTCAAAATATGTGTATAATATAGCATGTGTGTGTGTGTGTATGTGTGTATGTGTGTATGTGTGTACTTACCTGTGACGACACCAATCACAAAATTACGAAAACTCATTAATATATAATATGATATGATTTGCGGCTAACTTTGTTTTTTTCTTCCACTTA